GCTGAGGTCGACCCCTCAGATTGAGGACGTTTTTAGCAAAGGCCAGCTTAGGAGTACCCTAATTAAGTTAATAACAATGTACCTACCTATATAGTTTAAGTTTAAAAAATTTGGCTCTCAAAAGAAATTTCAATCGTTGTACTGTTGATATTTGGCTCTGTTGACTAATGAGTTTGCTGACCACTGACTTCGGCTTTTATATATATAAATTAAAATACTCCATCTTGGCACAAGTGCTAGCAGATATACTATGTCAATAACACTGAATGACAGCAGGGCAGAGGTAATTATCTCTACTTGACAGATGGAAAAACTAAGACTCAGGCATCCAAGTACTTGTCACGGTCTCAGAAGTGCTATGTGTCAATTCTGGACCACAAATCTTACTCATTCCACTGGCCCACTGGTAGAGGCCCTGGGCTCTCAGTGACCCAAGAGGACAAGAGCCAAAAGGTGCTGGTTTGAATGATCCACAGTTAATGAATGAGCTCCCACTCTTCACCTACCTATGTGGCTCGGTCAATCATTGACCTAGTCTGGGTCTCTGGTGTGTCATTTGAAGAATGAGAACTGTGGCCCTAGTTGGTTTGGCCCAGTGGATAGAGCATCAGCCTGTGGACTGAAGGGTTCCGGTTTCGATTCTGGTCAAGGGCACATGCCCGAGTTGCAGGCTCCATCCCCAGTATGGGGCGTGTAGGAGACAGCCGACCCAAGATTCTCTCTCATTGTGGATGTTTCTCTCTCTCTCTCCCTCTCTCTTTCTTTCTGAAATCAACACACACACACACACACACACACACACACACACACACACATACACACACACACACACACATATATATATATAAAGAATGAGAACTGTGGTATACATCCATTCAATAGGTTCCAAACATTGTGTGTAGACAGATGGTAGGGATATAAAGAAACATGTTCCAAGTGACATAATGGAGGTATGCCCGTGGCCTCAGGCTGGACCTCAGTGCTCAGTGGATCCTCATAACCCTACAATGTAGGAATTTGTTAGCATGCCCATTTTTACAATGAAGAACCCGAACCACAGAGATCAGATGACAGATGGAAAGCAGCAGGTGAAGTCAGAGGTCAAACCCCAGCTCTCAGCAGCGAAGCCCAAGGTCTCCGCCACCACTTGCGACCACCTCCACTAACCTGAAGAACAGAGGCTGAGAGGCAGAGAGAACCAAGGACAGAGCCCTGGGGAGTATGGAAAGCCAAGGGGTGGGAAAGAAAGTAAAAACCTGAGCAGAGAAAAACCTAGGAGAGGATAATGTCTAGAAGCCATAGGAAAAGAGAGTGGTGAACTGCACACTGAAGTCAGCTCAGGAAGCAGTGAAGGCACCCACTGCACTCAGCAATGAAGTCCAGTAGTAATGGGTTGGTGATGGTGGAGGCTAAATTGCAGTGGGCTGGGGAAGGATGTGAGGTGAGGGAGTAAACTTACTGAATGTGGACAACTCTTTCTATAAAGCTACTCGAAAGGCAGGGAGAGCATGTCAGTAACTAACAGTCACAACCCTGTGGTCAGGACTAGAACCTAAATCCCAGTTTATACTTGGGCTTCCACAATTGTGCGAAGTTACCCGGATAATATGCTTCAAGAAAATACCAGCCAAAAGCACTACTCCGTTATAAAACAAGACTCCAGCCTGAATGGGGTGCCTGCCCAGTGCCAGGTACTGGGCAACACATATGTGTAAGGATCTTGCTTGCATGTACAAAGGTACACCTTGGTTTGCAGGGTCCCAGTTTGGGTCACCAGTGCACACACAGCAGCTCATAAAGTATCTTACTATAGTAATAATGAGATACATGTACTGAGAGTCCTACAGCAAACTCTCAATGTTTGTTGAATATTCCTAAAACATGTGTAAATCAAATTCTGCTAAAAACAAACAAAAAACACAGTACATTTCCAGAGAAATAAAACACTTATGAATAGATTATACACCATAATTTCAGATTTTTTTCCATTTCTCATTAAAACAAGCACTTTAAGTTTCTTGGCAGGTAGGATGTTTTAAAACATATATTCTAGAATGTTTGCATCTTAAAATAATTCTGTGATGTCTTTTTATAATAAAAATACTTAAATCTAAGTAAATGTTTTACAAATTTGTATTTATTTTTATAGTTAAATTTAGACTTTATTGTATCAGAACTTGCATCACAATCTACTTCAATTAAACTGTCTTTAAACTTTAAAAAGTTTAGTAAACAAATAAAGAATGCTATGGAATGTTTATCTTCTTTACAGAATGAGCTATTTTAACCCTTTAAAGTATCTACTTGAGTACAAACAATCTGACATTACAGGCAGAGGCAAAATATTAAGGCTGACATTTCAAATAAAAGCAATTTACTAACAAACTTTAAGAAACCCAGAAATTCATTTGAAATTATCAGAGCTACAAATTTTCATTCTCTGACAATCACCAAGGAAACGTAGTAATAAAAAGATTTTAGGGAGCTACCTTAAAGCTGGTAAGAAATGTTTGGCAGAAACATATGAAAGAAGAAAGCCTTTTTGTAATAATAAAGAACGAGGAAGATGAGAAGAATAATCCCAACTACTAATCCCAAACTATGATTCAGGCCCCTTAATATTACTATCTTGATTGATATTCTGGTCTAACTATTTCTATATTAGATGAGGAGTGAGTGAAAACCCTCCCAACTCTCCCATCATTAGAAGCTCTTTCTTCATGCTTTCCTATTTATATGATCCTTAGGAAGGCAATATAAATTGTTTATATTTTTCACCCAAAGGTTATAATTTGAGTTCAAGTTTATTTCCTTTTGGTTCAGTGTTCAAAGAGAACAAATAAATTCTTCTATTAACCAACTTTATTTCAAATATATCAGGAACTGAATGAATATAGCCATTCTTTCCACATTAAACAATTAGAAATACTGCCAATTTTTTCCAACAGATCTATCCTAATATTTGGTCCCAGAAAATAATTTTAAAGAGCAACTTGAGTTTACCTGCCTCAAACCTAAGGCCCTTTAGTGTCTACTACCAAGCTTGTTGTTATGATAATGGTTTAACTAAGCATGCTATTCTCAATAAATGCTAAGTAGTTACTCCACTGTCTCTCTTTTTTCAAAAAATCTTTTCACTTGTGGGCCTCAAATAAAAAAAAGTCCTGTTTAGAATTCATTGCCAGTAAAACACATAAATTTATGTGCCCAATTTCTAGTCATCTCCAAATAAAAGGTCTATAAAATTAGACAATTTTTCTGAATTTTCCCAAACAGTATAAATTCATGTTTCAATATAAAAATCTTACTGTTTAATTTTTCATTTTAGTGACTTTGTTGTATCATACAGCCTTTTTCACATAATAACATTTTACATGGCTCATTGTGCCACTTCAATACTTTTTAGATAGCTATTTCAACCTCACTTTTGACTTAACAATGTCACAGATATAGTAATTTGAGTTGATAAACAGATTGCATTTTTAGACACCTTACCAGTACCTAATATTTTATTTCATTTTCTTGAACAGATCATTGAACTACTTGCTTGCTTAAAACTATTAGTGTCTAAATGAGCAATTTTTATCCCACTATTTAAGGCAAAAAAATCCCTTTCTCTCTAAATAATATTGATTCTGACAGGTATCCTCTTCCTTCATCATTTTTTGTCCTCTCTGGTTTTTTTCCTCATTCCCAGTATTTTGGGCTACTTCTCCAACATTAACTCTGTCTGTCTGTCTGTCTGACTTTTATTTCTTTGATGGGAGGAAGATTGAAAGCACCAAGGAAAAGTGATAGAGGAGACAGAGCAGGAAGATGGTAGCCTCTTTTGCACTTAGAGTTTGGCTCTTCCATGTACAGTTGCTATAGCTACTGCTCAGACTATTGCTGGGCCAAGAGATTCAAACAGACATTACAGTAATTAACTTCCTCAGATTTCCAAACAGTATAGATTTTATGTTGTTTCTTTTTTAAAGTACAGTCATTATAGGTATGGTAATCACAAGTGATGCTATAACCAGATGGAGAAATGTTAATGAAATTGGCAACTCTAAGAAATTACTAACACTAACTGACATTGACAGGCACTTACGAGGTACCAGGCACTGCAACAGCATGTCATACATCAAACATCAGACATATCCACTATGCCCACTGGGCGAGAGAGGAGGCATGCGGCTAAATACATTGTCCACTTTCATTTTCCTTAATTTTAACTTACTGTTATTAAATTGTCATATTCAAATTAAATATGTAAATGTGAAATTACTATAGTAACCTCACTCACTTTAATCCAAAGTTCAAAGTTAACTATATAATGTACAAGATTCAGAATTTAGAGGTTTTATTACCTTAGCAAAGGGGGGACAACCTAAAGGCTTTACAAAGACAAAATTCAGTTTTAAAAATCAAAACTACACTAACTCTTAAGTTTAACAATATCCCCAAAGCCTACCAATCTACTGTCCCAAAATAGGAGAGAAGTGTGCTTTTTCTCTTAACTATTAAAACTGGCCCTGAAAATTTTATTTCAGCATTACTGGTCGTAGCTAAAAGTTGAACACACTTAAATGTGTATCAATAGAAACATATCATGATATATCCATGAATTAGAAAACTATGCATTTATTAAAAAATAAAGCAAAAACTTTATAAATGCGCTACAGTATATCTCCAAGATATACTGAGTGACAAAAAACAAGAGGCACATGCAGATATACACTTGTTATTTGGGGTAAAAAATATCAATATCATCATCATCATCATCACCATCTAGGAAACAAATACAAGAATGTAAAAGTTACCTCTAGAGAGTGAAGTGTGTAGTAATAGTGGGGATGGGAAATGGGGTAATGAAATGGGACAGAAACCTTCATTTTTTTGTTTTATATCTTTTCGACATTTTTTTTAAAACCATGTGCATACATTGCTTTTCAATTATTAAGAAAACTGCTTTTGACTGTCTTTGAATTGACTTATATTTATTGAAATAAAGGGACACTCTGGCCTGCCTTCTAGAACACTCCTGGCAGTCTCTGCCCCTTGTCTCACTCCTTCCCGGGAAGGAGGAGTTTGTGATCTCACTGGTGGTCCAGGGATGAGGAACTGACCAGAGGGGCCCAGCCCTTCTGAGCCCCTTTCAGATGGGCTTCCCAACAGAAGTCCAGCCCCTTCCTTCCACTGTCACAGTGGGGTTTAGAGAGGAAACAGAGGGAATGCTGGCCTGTGCTTATCTCGTTGTGGCGGTGATTGATGTAAGACTAGTATAGTAATTCAGGTATATAAATACTGAAAAGCCTCTGCATTTTTGCTGCACAACTAAGCTGTGTTTTCCAACAAACTTGTTACTTCAATCTCCATCTTGCACCTAATTTTCAATTAATTCTGAACCAATTTGGAGGGGAGTATGGGGAGTTCTAAATCCCAACAACATCCAAGATACACTGTTAAATGAAAAAAGAATGATACTGTACTGTATAGTATGTACAGTATGATCTCATTGATGCCAAATAAAAAAAAACACCACTACTATAAAAATATATGCATATATAAAAATGTCTGAAAGAACAAACATTAAACTGGGGGAAGGTTGGATTGGGAGATGTGAGAGGACTGTCACTTTTTACTTCTAAATTTATTTTTAGGCTATTCAAAATTCACCAACAAGCATATAGTCATATATTATTGTGGTAATTCTCAAAAAATTTTAAATATACTTACATTTGTGCTGGAAGTTTTAGAAACTACAGATCAAGTGCAAGTTCTAAACTTTATGATTATCAACAGTTTAGAGAAGTGGTTTTCAAAGTGTGTTCTCCTGCATCAGCATCTCTGGGAGCCTGTCGGATATGCAAACTGAGGCCCCATCCCAATCTACAGGATTAGAAACACTAGGGGTGGAACCCAGCAATCTGTTTTAACAAGCCCACCCCGAGTGATTAGAATGCTAACAGGGCTAGAGAATCATTTATAATAGTCAAGTTTCAATTTTCCCATTCATAAATCCTCAGGACCTATACAACACACACATACTCCCTACCTAGCTATCAAATCATTTTATCTCAATTCAACAAACATTTATGGAATACCTTTCAAACTGTATTACTGTAGTGACTTTTTAGTATGAACTAAAATACTTCAGTAGAGAAATGACAACTTGAAACCACTAGGGAGAATCCTCGTCCCCTTTAAAGGGCCGGAAGTAGTCTGTCATAACCAAGCCCCAGAACAGATTTCCCACTGAGAAGGAACCATAAATGGCTGCCTCACACAACTGGAAAAATCCTCAACCAAGTAGCAACTTGTTAATGGAATGTATTACCATGTTGAGCATTCCCAGCTAGTATTTCTCCTTTGTAACTTTAAATTAGGAAGGTTATTTAAAATTAAGTAGTATTAGCATTTACAGATACCTGTTTGGTGATCGTCTTGACCAACGTCTTCGGTTAGATTCTGCAAGAAATATGTTCACTATTATCAAGAAATCACACCATCACAACAAGTTTTAAAATTCAATATTTTCATAAATAGCTGATATCTTAATATCCGTAACCTAATTTTTTTTTATCCACTACATTTAAAACAACTATTTAAACAGCTGGTAGTTTTGTCATTGAAAGATTGACTTACTAGCTTATTAAGGGTGTGGTAGATCTTATGAATATTTGCCAGTGTTGAGAGATGAGAATTCAGCTGAAAGTCTTTAAAAAAGAAAAAGAGGAAAATTCAGTGTCATTTATTTCCCAAACTGCAAAGACTATAAAAAGAAGAAAGCTCAGATGTAATGATAAACAAATGTTTTGATACAACTGAATCTCCATTAACTTGATACTTATTAAGTAAAATACAACATGCAACTACTGACCTATCTCCTAGAAATAGTCTGACAATAAAGTTAAGTTCCCAACCAAATGTTCATGAAATTTTCATGTGAATTGTAAGGTAAAACAAAATACGTCAATAGTGATAAAATCCTACCAGCAATGAACCTAAACTTAATAGAAAAATATCAACAATGTTAGCAAATTAAACAAGTTATAGAAATAGAAGATAGATCTCAAATGAAACGTGTCGGCTTTCTCTTTCCTTTTCTCTTCCCAGAGCTACTAGCAAAACATCAAGCTCCCAACAAGAAAATAATAGAAAAGCATCTCAACTATTCAAGAGTTCTTACAGTATATTTATTTTTTTGGCTCTAATACAACAGAGAAAGCAAAAAAAAAAAAAAAAAGGAATCTAAGCCCCTCCCCCTCTTAGTGAAACACAGACAAACCAAAGAATTATCCTGCAAACTCAGTGTGGTAGGCTGAGCCCTGTGATGGAATCTATGCTTACTTGTACCACAATATTCAATGTGCCACAGAGACAGAAACACAGAAGCAGAAATCACACTCAGAGAAACATAGCCAAAGCAAAGAATGCATCAGCTATTGAATCATCTCCTACAGTTGCAAAATTACACTCTAAGTCAGACATACAAGAAGAATTAAGTTGCTCCATCTTAGAATCCTGCACAATATAAAACTTTCAGTTAAAACGTTAGGCTTTTGAATTTCTAATGTCAAATGACTTTTATAAATTATGCTTGCATACATATTAAGCTATGTAAAAGTGAGTTAGAAGTCTATAAATAATTTCATAAGCATCAACAGATGTATTTTCACAAAATATCAAGATTTACATTAGTTGCTTGTCTTTACTATCATAAAGGTTAGTCTTGAAAGTAACCTTGAAAAAATACTGCAACTCTCCAAATTATGCCATTCTGATAAAAAAGAAAAAAATATCACCCTTAATATTTGTAACCTACATTTTTTATCAACCACATTTTACTTGGGACATGTATCGGATGCCAAGAACAAACCCAAGAGAAGACTACAATACAAGTTGTCTGTGCAGGGGGACTGGACTCTGGGCAGCTGCTTTGAATCTGGAAAGCAAGCTGATTTTCCTGCCAGTATTTAGAAAGCTTTACTTTCTTTTCTAAATCATGGCAGGAATCCAGGTCTTGGCTGGCCTAACAGGGCAGAGGGGCCAGCAGGCACCAGAGCCCTGACATTCACACTCCATTGTCAGGAGCAGCCGGCCATACATGGATGCTACACATGTACTGCTCCGGCCCACCTGGCCACAGTCAAACACCTAACAGCACAGTCACAGCCAATGAGAATGCTCCATGAGTGTTTTTGGCTGAGAGACAAGCAGAGTAGGGCCCCAGGCTCTAAATGGGTCTCAATATAGACAAGTGTTAATTGTTTGGCATCTAAATAGCTTCGCCATATTTAAAGTAAATGGTGACATAATGTGGCACAGAACCTTCTCCATCTTAATTAGTGCATTGCACAGAGAAGTTTTAAAGTATTAGGGGTGTGTGGGGGTATGTATATATGTACATGTGGGTATTCACTTACTTATGTTTATATTTAATAAGCATGGATAGAGATCTCTAAAGCTAGAAGCAACATCTCTCTCCTGGCCTGCAAGAGGCAATGGGGAGCTTAACCATACACCAACCCCTCCCCCTGCATCTACTACTGAGCCAAACTCCCCTTTTTATACTCCCAATTTAAAAACAGGAAGACAAATGATACATTCTATTATCATCTTGAACTTAAATCCTGAGTTAAATTCTTGCCCCCCGCCCCCCCAAAAAAAAACAAAGACAGAAAACTCAAGGATCTGAATTCTTTTTTTTAACTGAGGCCTCACAGGAGGGAAGAGAAAGGGGCTTGCCAAAGATCATAGAGCAATGTGGCTTCCAGGCCCTGCCCCGCTCCATGCTATAATTTTTTCACCACTGATGTTAACTCAACTGTCAAAATTCACATAAGATAATCTAAACAAAATTGCTAAATCCTTCTACACATACACACACATACATGTAAACACACACACACACACACACAGTTCCTACCCAAATACTACTGTGCTTTAGTACCTCTCTCTGGACTCTGACAACTCATTTGAATCTTAGGTCTACCAGTTATTTAACCTAAATTTTGATGTCCTCGTCTGTAAAATGAGGTTACAAAGCTTAGGTGTGACAGACATTCATTACAATGCCTGGACCATACTAAGTGCTCAACAAAAGATATCAATTACCACTATATTTGTTTATACCATTTTCCACACCACACAGCTATCTATCTAAAATGGTCTAATTTCCATAGGTCCAATAAAGCCCCATCTCAGAAACTCCAAAGTTGGTGCTCTCTCCTCTGTGAATGAGGCACATGGCCTCGTACGTCTCCAGGGCCTCTGGTGGCATTGCCATATTCATATACCATGATGTTAATAATGATAATCTCCACAACAAAATATACAGGAGCGTTTAAGACCAGGTTCTGTACATGAAGTTTCACTTTACAGGCAAGGAGAGTAACAAGGTTCATTTCACAAATCACAAAATATATTTCAGCAATTCTCCACTTCCCTATCAGATGTCAACTACCATCAACATCTCGTCATCACTTCACACACACACACACACACACACACAAAACAAAAGGAACTAGCAACATAAAAAACTTTTCTTTAGTTTCATGAAGTAGGAAGAGACACAAATTCAAGGAAAAAAGACAAAAATGGTCTTAAAAAATAAATCCACAAAAGTTAACACATATCAAATTTATGGTTCATCTGTTCAGTGCTCAGGGCAAGTAAATAGACCTTAAAATCTAAAACAGATTTCACATCCTCAAGGAATAGATGTTAAGGGTAAAGAGCAAATGCTTTACAGAGAACATACTTAGGAAAGCACTAACTGATTCATAAAAATCTCTGGCTCATATTTCTATTCCGAAAGATAATGCTAGGCTAAGCCAACTTTATTCCATGATCAAATGGCTCTCCACAGGAAAGCAGCGACTGGGCTTGACTCTCCTGTGTGATAAGCAAACTCTATATTCTGTATTAAAAGCAACAAATGACTCTGTAAAAAGGCACAGTCTGCTTGATAAATAGCTTGCCTAAATTATTTTCTGGGTATTTTTTAAATATCCAACAAAGGCTGACTGGGCATAAAGTTTCTGGTGCTTGTTTATTTGCTTATTTTTATTACCGTTTGCTGTGATCTATCCTATATAATAAAAAGTCTAATATGCTAAGTGTCTAGTCAGCCATTCAACCAATCAAATCATAATATGCTAATGATATGCTAAGGCCGCTCAACTGCTCGCTATGATGTGCACTGACCACCAGGGGCAGACACTCCAACTGGTAGGTTAGCTTGCTGCTGGGGTCCGGCCAATCAGGACTGAGAGAGACCAGCCGGACACACCCTGGAGCCCTCCCACGGTCTCTCCCCGGCTGGCCAACCTCCTGTGTCCCTCCCAGGCCCTGATCATGCACCAGTGGGGTCCCTCAGCCTAGCCTGCACCCTCTTGCAATCTGGGACCCCTCAGGGGATGTCGGAGAGCCGGTTTTGGCCCGATCCCGCAGGCAAGGCCAAGGGACCCCACTGTTGCACAAATTCATGCACCGAGCCTCTAGTCTAGCTATATAAAAGGCTAATATGCTAAGTGTCCTTCCCACCTTACGACCAGTTGCTATGACACACAATGACCACCAGGGGCAGACACTCAATGCAGGAGCTGCCAAGATGCGCACAGAGAAACGGCACCACGGAGCTGGCACCCACAAAACAACACTTGGCTTGCCCCAAGTGGGACACAGGCCCTGCCACCACCCTGGAGCGACAGCCCACCAAATCGCAGCCGACACTGCCAAGACCCCATGGTGCAAAATGCAGCCCACAGCCCAGCCCAGAAACGGTCACTGTGGGTGCTGGATAATGACATCACATAGTAACGCCCGGCTTCCTCTCCCTAGCAACTAGCCTCCTTGCAGTTTCTTCAGCCCAGGAACCCGACTTGCTTTATAGCCAGGTGGAAACAATTACACTTTAACCAAATGTCTGTGAAGCATTTTCCCGTGCCTCATCTCATTTGATCCTCACAGAACTCCTGGAGTAGGTAGATAGGAGACTCAGTGGAATCCTTTTTTTATTATTATTATTAGCTGGAAAATGGAGACTTAGAAAGCTTAGAAACTTGACCCAAATGAAAAGAAGAAATGGTGGACCTTGAAAATGACTTCAGGTTTTTCTCACTGCACAGAATATAGTCAAACACTGCTGCAGTTAAATATTTTATCCTTTATTCTCCCTGCATGATCTGTAATAGTAAACTGCTTCATATTGATATTTACTGCTGTGTTGCTGACAATTACCTGTAAGAGAAGTTGGGGTGCTTCACTGGGCTGGAAAAAATTTAGCTAAATCAGAAAGCAGGTCTAATTAAGCAAGTTTATTCTATATCTATAAAAGGCTAAGTTGACTCGCGCATGTGCGATACATATAAACCTCTTGCTGGCACCAATCGCACACATGTGTTTCCATCTGTCATTGTCAATCGTGAATTTTGTTGATACTTCTATTATAGAGAAAGGGTGAACAGCAATATTAAAATATTTCTTCTAATTATTTTCCTTTCAATGTGCACGAATTTGTGCACCGGGCCACTAGTATAATATAAAAGAAAAAAAAAGAATGCCACTGAGAGGTCAAAGTCCATTCCCCAACACTACCCACAATATAGACAGAGATATATTCAAAACGAAACAATTATGGGTAAGTTCAGACAATGACTGTCAACCAAAAAAACATCAAATTTAAAAATTAACACTCCTAATAGAAGTTTAC